GTGCATCATACCATGTAATTCTCTCAGAAATTGTTATAACTATGCTCCTTGTATACATAAGGATCCTGAGGCACAAAGAATTTAAGTCACTTATCCATAATCTCAAAGGTTGTTAGTAGCAAAGCCAGGACTCAAATGCAGGTTCTCCAAGCATATGTTTTAAGTTTTAATATAAAATACTTATGTACTCTATATTATATATATATATATATATATATATACATATATATAATATTATATCTAAATACACATATATATGTATATATATAGTACTATGTATTACATACATAGTACTCTATATATTATATATATGTACTCTATATTATATATACACTATATTATATATAGTAGTACATATATATGTACTACTATGTTATATATATATATATATATATCATAGATCACTCTATATTATATAAAGATGTACATAGAACACATTGCCAGTTGTAAGGAGAAGATTGAACAAGAAGTTAATCAGAAGTTTTGAGCAACTGTAGATCTGACTGAAGAAGGTCTTGTTGGCTTTCCTCCTCACACATGTAACCTGACTCTTTGAGTAGATATAATATATGCAGCAGAGCCAAGTCTGGTCTCTGATGAGCAGGGCAGTAGTAGACTGGAGTCTCCCTATCATGTGGCAGAAAAGGATGGAGGGTAGAGAAGCTAGATTTGGAGGCAGGCTTGGGCAGTATACTTGGAGGAAAGATGGAGACACATCTGAGCACCTCCTGAGTGTTTTCTGGCTTCATTTTTGTTGCAAAATAGTGGAGAGTTTTAATGAGTTTAATACAAAACGGCCCAAGACACATTTTCCTTAGGATTTGGGACACTGGAGTAGGAAGAAGGAGGAAAACAGTTTTTTTTTTCCTTTAAAAAAAATGTATTTAAATTCTAGTTAGTTAACCTACAGTGTGATATTGGTTTCAGGAGTAGAACAATGATTCATCATTTACATACAACGCCCAGTGATCATCACAAGTGCCCTCCTAGAGTTAATTTTTAGTTCATCGGGATTCGTGTTGGGAAATGTAGAAGGGACACAAATCGGTAAGCGTAAAGGCTGAATGACCAATCTCTTAGGTACGGCATTTGTCTTTTGCTAATCTAGAATTGAAGTACAATAAACTGTACATATATGAAGTGTACAATTTGATCAGTTTCAATTTATGTATATGCCACAATCAAGGTAATGAACCTTTCCATCATCCCCAATGGGTGTCTCTCTCCCTCTACCTGTGACCTCAGAAAATCATCTTCTCTCTGTTGCTGTGCATTACTTTCATAGATTTAGGTACTGCATGCATACTATTTTATTACTGTTTTTCTGTTTTATTATTGTTTTTCATGACCTATCTTTATTTTTTGGTTCTCTCTTCTCTTTTTTTTCCTGACTCTTTTGGATTACTTGAATACTTTCTAATATTCCATTTTATATATTGGCTGTTGGCTATATCTCTTTGCATGTTTTGAGTGTTGGTTCTAGAGATTACAATGTATATACCTATTATTCAGAGACTACTGAGAGTTAATAATATACTGTTTCATGTAAAATGTTGAAATCTTGCACTATATAGCTCTTTATCCACCAGTCCTGAAGTTTGTTATAGTTGTTCATATTTATCACATTTATACACATTGAAAACCTTACCACTGAATGTTATAATATTTGCTTGAAATAGCTGTATGCATTTTAGAACTTAAAGAAAAATAAATCTATATTTTTTGGTTGTTCTTCAACTGAAACCATCTTTATTTCACCTTTATTTCAGAAAGGTTTTTCCACCAGATCTGTAATTTTGTGTTGATAGGTGTTGTTGTTCTGTGCCTTCAAGATGCTGTTTCACTGTCTGCGTGTTTTGTGATGAGAAATCCATGGTCATTAAAATAATTGCTCTCCAATATAATGTACAATGTCTTGCTTCCTTTTCTAGCTGCAATATATATATACATATATACATAAAGACTGGATGACCAACCTTAGGTATGGCATTTGCCTTTTGCTAATCTATAATTGAAGTTCAATAAAATGCACATACTTGAAGTATATATATATATATATATATATATATATATATAATATATATGTATATATATTCTCTAGCCAATGTTATATGTATGTTATTTTGCATATATTATATATATTATTATATAATTTTTGCTTGTCAATAGTTCAGTTATGATGTGTTTAGATGCAATTTTCTTTGGTTTTATTCTGTTCAGAGTTTGCCAAGATTCTTGAATTTTTGTATTTATGTTCTTCATCAAATTTGGCAAGTTTTTGGCAATTCCCTTTTCAAGCATGTTTTCTGCTCTAATCTCTTTATCCTCTCCTTCTGGGGCTCTACTGATGTATATTTTAGACTTTTTGATATTGTTGCACAGGTCTTCAGGGTTGTGTCCATTTTTATTTCAATTTTTTTTTCTTGTTCTGAAGTTTTGATCAGGGTTTCTTGACTTTGGCACTATTAACATTTTAGGTCAAATAACTTTTTATTGTGGGAGGAGGCTGTCCTCCCTAATTGTCAGACTTCCTAGAAATATGCCTAGCTTCCACCCACTAGGTGCCACTAGTACTCTACCCCCCAAATTGTGGCAACCAAAAGTGTGCCCAGATTTAAGGAATGTCTCCTTCGGGGAGGAAGAGTCATCCTTCATTGGTAATCATTGAGTTAGATAATTTCTACTGATCTGTTTTCAAGTTCACTTACTCTTTCACTGTCCTCTTCATTTTGCTATTGAGCCCTTACTGTGGGATTTTATTTCATGTATTGTATTTTCCAGTCCTAAAATTCCCATTTGCTTCTTTTTGTCATTTCTATTTCTTTGTTGAGAATGCCCATTTTATCATTCATTTCAAATGTGCTTCCTTTTTACTTCAGGGAATACAGCTTAAAAAGTTGCTTTCACTTCTTTGTCTACTGGTTCCAGCATCTTAGTCATCTTGACATTTGCAGTTGTAGATTATCTTTCACTTAGATATCAGTCAATGTTTCTGGTTCTTTGTATACTGAATAATTTTGGAATGCATCTTTTTTCACCCTTTTTTTAAATTAAATTTTAGTTAGTTAACATACAGTGCAATATTGCTTTCAGGAGTAGAATTCAGTGATTCATCACTTACATACAACACCCAGTGCTCATCACAAGTGCCCTCCTTAAATACCCGTCACCCATTTAGCCTACTCCCCACCTCCCTCCCTCCATCAACCCTTTGTGCTCTAACCTTAAGAGTCTCTTGTGGTTTGTTTCCCTCTCTTCTCTTCCCCTCCTCCCATATGTTCGTCTGTTTGTTTCTTAAATTCCACATATGAGTGAAATCATATGGTATTTATCTTTCTCTGATGGACTTATTTCACTTAGCATAATGCATTCTAGCTCCATCCATGTCATTGCAAATGACAAGATTTCATTCTTTTTTTATGGCTGAGTAATATTCCATTGTATGTGTGTGTGTGTGTGTATATATATATATATATATATATATATATATATATATGTATACACACCACGTCTTCTTTATCCACTCCTTAGAGGATAGACATTTGGGCTGTCTCCAGAATTTGGTTATTGTTGGTAGTGCTGCTATAAATATTTGGGTGCATATGAACCCTCCCCCCAGCAAATCAACATTTTTGTATCCTTTGGATAAATTCCTAGTAGTGCAATTGCTGGGTCATAGGGTAGTTCTATTTTTAATTTTTTGAGGAAACTCCATACTGTTCTTCAGAGTTGCTATACCAGTTTGTGTTCCCACCAACAGTGCAAAAGCGTTCCTCTTTCTCCATATCCTAGCCAACATCTGCTGTCTCCTGAGCTGTTCATTTTAGCCATCTGACAGATATGAAGTGATGTCTCACGGTGGTTTTGGTTTCTATTTCTCTGATGACGAGGGATGTTGAGCATCTTTTCATGTATCTGTTAGCCAATTGGATGTCTTCTTTGGAAACGTGTCTATTCATGTCTTTGACCCATTTAACTGGGTTATTGTTTATTGGGTGTTAAGTTTCATAAATTCTTTATAGATTTTGGATACTAACCCTTTATCAGATATGTTGTTTGCAAATATCTTCTTCCATTCTGTAGGCTTTTAGTTTTGTTGATTGTTTCCTTTGCTGTGCAGAAGGTTTTTATCTTGATGAGGTCCCAATAGTTCACGTTTGTTTTTGTTTCCCTTGCCTTTGGCAATGTGTCTAGTAAGAAGTTGCTATGGCTGAGGTCAGAGAGATGCTGCCTGTGTTCTCCTCTAGGATTTTGATGGTTTCCTGTCTCACATTTAGGTCTTTCACCCATTTTGAATTTATTTTTGTGTGTAGTGTAAGAAAGTGGTCTATTTCATTCCTCTGCATGTCGCCATTCAGTTTTCCCAACATCATATGTTGAAGAGACTGTCTTTTTTTCCCGTTGGATATTATTTCCTGCTTTGTTGAAGATGAGTTGACCATATAGTTGTGAGTCCATTTCTGGGTTTTCTATTGTGTTCCATTGATCTGCATGTTGGTTTTTGTACCAATACCAATACCAAGCTGTCTTGGTGACTATAGCTTTGTAACATAGCTTGAAATCCCAAATCGTGATGCCTCCAGTTTTGTTCTTCTTTTTCCAGGGTTGCTTGGGCCATTTGGGGTCTTTTGTGGTTCCATACAAATTTCAGGATTTTTTGTTCCAGCTCTGTGAAAAATGCTGGTGGTATTTTGATAAGGGTTGAATGCATCTTAAACATTTTAAATGTTGGGTTGCAACTTGAATTCCGAGTCTGATATATTTTAAAAAAACCTGATTTTTCAGTGAAATTACTTGTTAGTCTACTTTTATATGACACCTCATTTCTAACAGACTCCAGGAAGAATACACCATCATAGGTTTGGGAAGGAAGAAATATATTGTGCAGAACTTTTCATACCTCAGAAAACAGAAGGAACACATAAACTAGTTCTTGGAGGGGCCTCCAGGGGACGATGCTGCACAAACTAGAGATCTTGTTGTCAACATCATCTGCTCACGCCCTCCCCCCTGCAGCTGGCTGAGTTCTTTGCAGACAGAGACAGGGACAAGAATCATCCGTCAGAAAGCTCCAGGCTCATCTCAGCAGCTTTTGCATTTTTATCTCAGCAAGGAACCTGTCCAAATTTACTTTCTCCACCCTTCTTATGTCCGAGGGCTTGGTTTCCTCAGCCAGTTTCCTGTCTGCTCAGGGGAGATTTTCCTGAGAAGAGCCCACTGCCTTTCTACTGCTCGGCCATGTTCCTGTTGCTCATCTTAACACTGGGGATATTTGCCCCGCGTGAGTAAAATTTCATATTAGTCTATAGTTCTACAGATTCAGCTGGAAATACTGACTTTTCATTGTGAAGTGTGCACTGCTTTCACTGACACAACACTGATTTTGCAGGAGACACCGGAGCCCAGTCAGTGACGCAGCCTGATGTCCATGTCACTGTCTCTGAAGGAGCCCCTCTGGAGCTGAGGTGCAACTATTCCTCAAGTGGAATTCCTTATCTCTTCTGGTACATGCAGCACCCCAACCAAGGACTCCAGTTTCTACTGAAGTACTTCTCAGGGGACACTCTGGTTAAAGGCATCAAAGGTTTTGAGGCTGAATTTAAGAACCATGAAACCACCTTCCACCTGAGGAAATCCCGAGCCCTTGGCAGCGATGCGGCCAAGTACTTCTGTGCTGTGCGTGACACAGTGTCTGGGACTGCAGGGGGAGCTGAACACAAACCACCATGGTAGGGGAGTTTTTGGAGACTGACGGTCTCTTCCTGTGGTATTATTAGAGATCTCTTGCTGTATGATGCCAAATGAGGCAAATAGAGCTGAGCAGACTTAGCTATTTCTATATAATTCTACAACTCCATGTCTGATAAACTTAATTTAGCAGGTTTTTGGTCTTTGTAGAAACTACATGATAATAAATAGTATTACAGAATGATGGAGAAGATAGTGTTCTGATCATACAATACCAAGATGCTCAAAGACTGGCCTTGAGGTTGACTGCCTACAAGGTTAACTATATGAATTTTCATTTATCATTTCTTCTGTCAGCCAACCCAGAAAACAAAACATGAACTCCTCATGTTCTTTCCCTGAAAAGTTTGCCTGCTTGTTTTTCTATTCATTCACAGATCATTTTCTTGGAATTCACCCCCTCCCCCCCCAACCTCTTCCCCCCACCCCCCACCCCACAGATCTCACTGTGCTGGTCAGAATGTGTCAGAATATTTTGAGTGTCAGTTCCTCATTTAAAAGGGATTCTGGAAAATTATTGGTCAGTTTTTGGAGATTGATTAGAATTGTGAAAGGTTTAGAAAACTGTCATGGTCATGTTAACTTTGGGAACTATTTAAAATAGTGCAGGAAGCTGAAGATTTTAGCCCATCAGTGTTTATCCAAAGATTTTGTCTCACTTGTAAAAGTAACCTCCTATTCATTTGGTTATTTATTTACTTATTATTTATTTATTTAATTTTATTTATTTATTCATTCATTTATTTATTTTAATTTATTTTTTATTTTTTAATTTTTTAATGTTTATTTTTGAGACAGAGAGAGACAGAGCACAAGAGAGGGAGGGCAGAGAGAGAGGGAGTCATGGAATCTGAAACAGGCTTCAGGCTCTGAGCTGTCAGCACAGAACCCGATGTGGGACTCAAACCAACGAACTGTGAGATCATGACTGTTAGGATGTCCTTGGAACCACAGTAGAGGGGACGGCCATCTTGCCAGCGCAACCCAATGAAAAGCCCCTAGTAGCTGCCAGAATTGGAGGTCAACCAATCACCGAGCAACAGCACGACCTGATATGAAAAAGGCCCACCCGGATGTAAACCTGGAACCACTGCAGCTTAAAAACCCCACCCCACCACACCTGGGTGTGACTTCCCTGACTCCTCTCTCTCTCTCTCTCTCTCTCTCTCTCTCTCTCTCTCTAAGTCACGGAACCTCGCCCAAGACCTTAGTTCCCAAATAAAGCCTTTGACTGCTAAAATTTTTTAGCCTCTGACTCCTATCTTTACCCTGCCTTACGCCTGACGCTAACAATGACCTGAGCCGAACTCAGACACGCAACTGCCTGAGCCATCCAGGTGCCCCTATTTTTATTTTTGAAAGAGAGAGAGCATGAGCAGGGAAGGTGCTGAGAGAGGGGAGAGAATGAATCTTAAGTAGGCTCTGCACTGTCAGCGTGGAGCCAGACATGGGGCTACATCCTGTGAATCGTGAGATCATGACTTGAGTGGAAAACAAGAGTTGGATGCTCTACCAACTGAGCCACCCAGACACCTCAACTTTTGTAAGTTAAATTCTACAGATTTACAACCAGAATGGTGTGGATATAATCTCTTTTGCTGTGCCCAGCAATGGACCTTTTTTTTTTTCTCAATGCTTTCAGCCTGTTCTTGTTTGATTTCATTGTTGGAATATGAGAAAGTGATTTTTTTTTAAAATTTTAATTAATTCCTTTTAAATTCTTTTTTAATGTTTATTTATTTTTGAGAGAGAGAGAGTGAGAGCAGGGGAGGGGCAGAGAGAGAGGGAGACAGAGAATCCGAAGCAGACTCCAGGCTGTGAGCTGTCAGCACAGAGCCCAATGCAGAGCTTGAACTCATGAACTGTGAGATCATGACCTGAGCTAAAGTCGAACACTTAACTGACTGAAGCCACCCAGGCACCCCTACAGATTGATTCTTACATGTTAACATCATTCTAATTAATTATGTAGTAAATTTAGCAATGCCAACTCTGCTAGAAATATTGATAAGAATTGCAGAGAAGATAGGGGTCGCTGGACCCAGGATAAACTTATAACTCAGTATAAGCCTGTTTTGTGTAGGATGGAAAGAGTTGTGTAAGAAGGTTTTACGGTCCTTGTGTTCTTGAAGTCTTGGAGATAACAAATACTCTGCAGAGAGGGGAGAAGGAGAAAGAGGGAGCTTTCAGACTGCTTCTTGGCTTACTCTGTCATGTAGAGAAAGATAAGTGTCCAGGACCCCTCAAAATATAGACAGACTAAGTAGATGGTCACCAAGGATACATCAGGAGATCAACAGTAATTTTTAGGACTTGGTGATATGGTTATATGTAATAAATGTGTTTGAGTGCTTGAAGGCATAAGGAATGTAAATGGAGGTGTTAGAGACAAAATCTGGAATAAAAAAAGTGTATTCATTTAATGTCCTTCTTCTCTCTGTCCCTTTTTATTTTTGGACCGTAATCTCTCCTACCTCTATTTTCAGGCGACTCGCTGTTACCAGCTCAACTACATTGCCCAAAGGGACTGTGGTGGGCACTTTATGCAGATTAGTAGGAGAAGAATTACCAATTTCTTTTGATTCTGAATTCAAGCTGAGTTTGAAAAGAAAAATAGGTTTCACACCAAGGACCCTGAGCAGTTGGGAGATCATACCCCCACCTCCCCAACCCTAATTCTGCCTGAAAAATCAAAGCCTGCCTCCCTCCCTCCCTCCTTCCCTTTTCCCCTTTTATTAATAGTTTGTTATTTATTTATATGAGTGTATATGATACTTATGAGGAACTTTCTACAATAAAGAATTATATTAAGAATAAAGTGGGAATGCTGAGGTATTTAGCAATCAAGCTAATAATTCTGACTTTTCATGTAATTAGCTAGTCTTACCACATACCTCACCACTCAGAAGTGGCTGGCCTAATTGAAAGACAGAATATCTTACTGAACTGAGTTACAATGCCAGTTGGGAGATACACCCTGACTGATGAGACTTTGTTAGTAGAAATTAACATGTGCTTCAAATCAGAGAAGTTTGTGTTACTTTATGTGTTACTGTCTTTCACATAGCCAGAATCCATGGGTCCTGGAATCAAAAGGTAGATGTGGGAGTGGCTTTTGTCACTATTGCAGCTAACAACCCACTATCAGATTTTGATATTCCCATCTTGGCAAGTTTATGCTATGTATATTTGGAGAACTTAGCCTTAAGAGATGAATTCTTCTGCCAGGAGACAAAAAAATTGCTCTACTCAATGGATGATAAAAGTAACTTCTGGACATTTTGAGCTCAGTCATTGAACCAACATGAAGAAAAGTATCTCTTGGCTGAAGTGGTTTATCCTGATTAAGAAGATATTGGGTTGCTTCTACACAACGGAAGCAAGAAAAACTATGTTTGAAGCCTCTTAGTAATTTCATGCCCGATGGTAAAGCTTAATGGAAAACTACAGCCACCCAAACCAAATTGGCTGAGGTGGGGGAAATATAGAGTAGAGATTCATGAAGGAAGCCACAGATATCAATTATAGCCTTGTAACTAATTACACAAGCAAAGTTCTAGTACTTTGAAAAATGGAACTATAATTAACATGTTAGATTAGTTTCATATGTACAACATATGGATTCAACAATTCTATACGTCATTCAAAGCTCACCATGTGAAGTGTAGTCAAAGTCATAGTATTTTCCATATTTTGTATTTGCTTGTTGTCTATGTAGGCTTATTTGTATGTGCGAAATTTTTCCTTCTACTCTCCTTCTCACTTTCATTTTATTTTTTTTTCAACTTTTTTTTTTTTTTTTTTTTTTTATTTTTGGGACAGAGAGAGACAGAGCATGAACGGGGGAGGGGCAGAGAGAGAGGGAGACACAGAATCGGAAACAGGCTCCAGGCTCTGAGCCATCAGCCCAGAGCCCGCCGCGGGGCTCGAACTCACGGACCGCGAGATCGCGACCTGGCTGAAGTCGGACGCTTAACTGACTGCGCCACCCAGGCGCCCCTCTCACTTTCATTTTATATACAAGTTATTGGAAATTAACTTTATATTTTAGCATATCGGTAACAGAATATTTTAGAGGGGCTCTAAATCTGAAGAGTTATTAATATCTTCAATGGTGGCACAATTGTAACCAGGCATCTCATTTTGAGGAAGGGGTGAGAAATTTATCACTTGCTAAGAAGGATAGCAGTATCTTGAAGGAGGTAAAAATATTGAGTTGTTTTCTTGTTATATGTGTTTCAAATATGTGTAGAAGGTTACATATAGAAGCTGAGTAGTCAAAGGGGTGAGATCGATTTATTGACTCTCAGCTTCAATTCATCTTTTGCCTGCTCTTAAAAACAGATTTGGGCCCTTCAAATATTTTCTTTGCCAGTTGGCACAACGTTAGATTTTTTCAGTAGAGAGTGCAGGGAGAGAGATTTGCCTCCTGGTCTGTGTTCCCTCTGGCAAGCTCCTGCAGCATGGGAGCGTCTCCAGGGACCAGCCCATGCCAGCACTCGCACCAGCTTCCTGCAGGGAAGTTAGTGTTCATCAGCACCCAGGGGATAGCAGCTTCCCTTAGCACCCCCATTTTTAGGTGGGTTTGTAGAAGAGGGCCTCTCATAAGACATGTTCTTGTGAACGTCTTTTCCCAGCATTCCAAAGGATGGTTTTCTGGGATGTCCTAAAGGGTAGATATCCAGCAAGTTCCACTGTTACAGCACCATAATGACTTCTCTGCCATCCAGTGAGCCACAAGTGTGTCTTCTCCAAAGTTTGAGTCTCAGCCCTGGAGTGATGGGAACCTCTTTCTGCATATTGTATCCCAGTCGTGGGAGCAGTGGCTACACTTTACATCCCCTATTCCTGTAGGATTCCTCTTTCCTTCCTACTAGCCATTCCCTTTTTACTCCAATATTCCGTTGTAGTTAATAATTCTTTTAGGTTTCCCCTAGTCAATTTATTGTGCAGTTTCTCTCTCCTGAATGGACCACTTTTGTTCATTCACCAGGACACTCAAGCAGCTGGAGAGCATCCCCCATTTTCTCTTCCCCAACTCTGCCTGAGACGTCAAAGCAGATTCGACTTCTTTATTGTTTTATATGATTATTATGTAAATATGAGAAACTTTCTATGATAAAGGATTATATAAAGAGGAGTTTGGAAATACCATATGAGTTATGTGAGTTATCAGTGAACGTAATTTCAGTTTTTCACATTTTGTCCATATTTGACACAAAATTTCATTATACCACAGAAGTGAATTCTAATCAACTTTTGACAACGTTTTACTTTAGCTTAAAACACAAATGGGTATTCATTCACTAATGAGAATGTGTCTGCAGATTGTAATTCCAAATCACCTTCTTCTGTGTAATTTCCTTATTACATCCTTATTTCTGATTTTTTTCTGTCTTTAAAATAGGATGGG